GTGTCCCTACCAAAATTGAGCTCAAACCTATGCCCTTGGAGAGAGCACTGATGGTTTATGGTTTGCAGGTTTGAGAGGAGATGGCAGAAGGGAGACAGAGGACAGGATGGCAGCAGGGGGCGAGAGAGAGTAAACAGGGAAAATAGAAAATTAATCTAACATTAGAAAAAAACAAACTAAAGACAAGGAATACATAAAGCTGAATTACTACAAATCACCCAACTAATCAAAAAGAAAAATTAAGAAAACAAGAAAAAAACTGTGTCTATAAATTGAAAGCTCCTAGGCCTAGTTCCTGTTTAGATGTGAGTAAAACATTCAATCTAAAACATATTCACACAGGTTAAGTAAGGTTATTCTAAACTAAATCCTTAGCAGCATCTATATTGAAATATTTAATCAACTGAATTTCTCATGGCTGCTTAGAAAGTGTGGTTAGAATAAGCTGATTGATGATGCAGAGTGGAGCCCATCTATTGAAAAGCTCACTCCAACATTGAACTGCAGGAGAAAACTGCATAGCAGCACAATCCCACTGCTGGCTTCCCTCCATAAAACACTGGTGCTGATGCTGGGAGGGAGAGAAGAAAGGAAGGAGGGAGGGGGTACAAAGCCCCCTGCGTCTCCTTTCTTTCTTCAGGAGACAAGTTGGCAAGAAAGCAAGTCTGACACCGGAAAACAGGCAGTAACGTTTCAAAATAAAAGCCACCACATTACATCTCTCTTTTTTTTTTTTACCTTTTAATTCCCTATTAATAATAATAATAAAAAAAAAAATATATATATATATATATATATAAAATAAATAAACAAAATAAAAATAAAAACTTAATGTTGGAACTGTAACTATACAGTCATATGTTTACATCACTTTTTTTTCACCGGTGTTTTTTTATCACAATGTTTTTATCACTGCTGCTTACCTTTATCAAGGCTGCACTTAAAAAAAATACAGAGAGCCGTACTAAACTAAATTTCCTTTTGTATACAATTGTGTGTACTAAATGACAAAATAAAATCTGTCTAAGTCTAATAATTTATAGTATTAGTAAATGAATACGGCACAGGGCGGTCTAGATGGGGGGCCAGGGGTGGTCATGGCCACCCTTACCCAATTATTGGCCACCTCTACCGTTTTTCTCTCTATTACAGATGGTGGCAGGCAGCAGTAATACTCTCTAGTGGAATTTTCAAAACATTAAATTTTTTTGTGGTTAATTATACACATCAATATACTAACATCAAAGATGATAAATACAGATTTCATGCTCTTTTCAGAACTAGATTTTGTTTTTATATGGGGTAAAGAGAAAATGTGTATCTGCAAGTCATCAGGGAGTCTTCAGTGAAACATAGATAAATAACAATTTTAATAAAAACTTATCAGTAAATATCAGTTTTATGCAGAATGTTTATTGATACATGTAAGTAAGTAGTGACGATGGTAAAGATTTACGCCTCAGATCTCAAAACTTAAAGAATTCTATCAACTGTACCTTTTATTTAGAACGCACGGATGTTTAAATATATGTGTAAATATATCTACTTGTTAGCAAAGGCTGTAGGAAAGTATAGTTTCTCTTTATTTAGAAAATATGGATGTTTTGCTCGTTAATTTTCCTGTTGGAACAGTGTAGATTGACCCTGAGGTCCTGGCGCCTATCTGCTTTCGGCCACCCCTCAGTGTACGATGGTTATTGCCACCATTATAAAAAATTTCTGGCTATGCCTCTGATACAGCATGAAAAACTCCCATCATCATTTAAACATAAATAGTATTATTGAAAAATATTTTATTTGTATAGTTAATTTGTTAGCTTATTTATGTTGTTTCTGCAGGACGTTATCCAAAAATATACATTTTAATTTCATTTTCACAAATTTCACTGAATACATTATATGACAAGATTTAACTCTCTTATAAACAATAATGGAGCCTAGGCGGAAGTTCAACTGAAGAAACTCATTGCTTTCCTACATCCACCTGCAAAACAGCCAATCAGCTTTGAACCACACCTCCGCGAAAGCCATTCAGCATCCAAAGTTCATCTTAAAAGGCCTCCGATACGCACTTGTCTGCTCCTGTGTGCAGGCGGCGGATGCGCTGTGACTTCATTCAGATGACACCGTTTCAATCCACCTCCAGCCCCTCCTCCACTATAGCTAAAGCTTTATCAGAGTGTCATTCCTCCCGGACTCTAACTGCGTTCCCTGTCTCATCTTAACCAGTCTGGCAGAAGACCGCCATGTTGAGCCTGGTTCTGCCAGAGGTTTCTTCCCAACGGGGAGTTTTTCCTCTCCACTGTCGCTTCATGCTTGCTCATCATGAACAGGTTCTCTCAACCTGATTTATCCAAACTGGACTTCCATCTTCCAGGTCCCTGAGTAAAGCTCTAGTATCAGCTCACGCAGTCCACTGGATCTCCCCATAAAGCTCAGCAGTCTACAGACTGACCAACTTCATCTATCTCCACTCCACCACCAGTTTCAGGCCTGAGAGGGAAACAGCCCTATTCTTTGCTCCTGTTCATGCATATTTATCAAAATTAAGCGCTATGTTTCCTGCCGAGGTCTGAGCGACAAAGACAAAGTAACTGTAGGAATAAATTTCTACTTATTTTTTTTTCTGTTCATGTGAGTTTGTCAGATTAAAATATTTTTGTCGATTCCGTTTATTTTAAGAACATCGTTCATGTCCTTTAATAGGCCGTGTTTTTACAACTAATTTTAACATTTCTTTTAGGAACATGTCTAAGACTCAGGGACTTATTGCTGATTTTAGTCCATAAATAATGAATTATGGACTATATGACAATTTAATTTTATTTTTTTTTTGTCTTTATGAGGGTGAAAATCGTTATTTTATTTTGAGATCATCCACCGGAAGCCGTTGGATAGAAGTGCAAAGCTGACATGGTCCCAAGTAGAGTACAGTGCCTCTGCGGCGTTGAGAGACAGCGAGGAGAAAGGAGGGGATAGGGACTCTGTCTGCTTTTGAAAAAAAAAAAAAAAAGCTCAGCTTTTTCGCTTTCTCATTTGTGAGAAAGAAAGGGAAAATACTTAAATACGATTTTTTTTTAAATCCAGATACTCTTTAAAGCACCGTGGTGCGTCTGGATCAAAGTGGGATAGGTGGATTCATCAGAAGAGAGGAGGGTTTCTGATCTGAAGCTTTTTGGAAATGATTCAAACAATAAATGCTAATGAAGGAGAAGGAAGCTGACTTTGGAGGATTCATCATTTGCTTTCTTCTAATTGACTTTATTTGTTCTGGCTCCTTCAAATCTGAGCTCATCAAGAAAAACTAATTTATTCACTGCAGGAGGAATTCTTACTTTAAAGTTAATTTACATCTAAAAGAATAATTATAAAAACTCAATTTCCATTAAGGAATGTGGAGACACTCTGTTGCAAAATAAGCTTCCGGTCTGATCTGCAGTTTTTGTTGAATTTTTGTGGCATTTCTTGATATAACCGAGAGTGGATGATGGCCATCAACACCGACACCGACTTCCAGAAGTCCAACCTGGGCGCTGATGGAGGAGGAGGAGGAGGAGGAGGCGCTCCGCCCGCGGACTTCCAGGAGACGGAGAAACTCCTGACGGTGACCACCGAGCCCGGAGGGAACGGGATGAAAATGTCCACCTCCTTCACCGTGCCCCCCGATAAGGCCCTGGAGGCCGATCAGAACGGCCACAGCGTCGGTCTGAGGTCGGGCTCCGTCGGGCAGCTGTCCGCCGCCGGCCACCTGTCTCCATCCAGGGCCAGCCTGAGCCGCTCCTCCACCGGGAACGCCACCGTCCCGGAGACCCCGAAGCCCAAGGATTACCTCATCCTGGTCATCCTGTCCTGCTTCTGCCCAGTTTGGCCCGTCAGTATTGTAGCACTGGTGTACTCAGTTATGGTGAGTAAGGATTTATTTATCAATAAAAACCAGTGGCGGTTCTAGACCAAATGTACCAGGGGGCCAGGAGGGGGCCAGCATGTTTCATTTGGGGGCACAGAAAAGCATGAAATAAAAATAAAAAAACAGGACAAGGGATTCAAAAATATTAAGATAGCTGCATGAAGTGACATTTCTATTCAAGGTTTAATTAGCATTCTCTGTCTTATTAGACTTAGACAGATTTATTTGTCATTTTGTTTACACAACTGTAAAACAAAAAGAAATTTCTTTTAGGACAGCTCCCTGGAAAATTTCATTTTTTTAAAAGTGCAGCATTGAAAAACAGTTTAAAAATATATATATATATAAACAGT